GCAAGTATAGGGTAGCAGCTACATCAGTATCGAGCTAAGGCGGAAAATGAATGACATTGGAATGGCTTAGGCTTGAAGAAATGCAAGCAGAGCTGAGTACAACGGTATGGTTGCATCACTGCGATGTGGAAGGAGACGGAAGACCCACCACATTATTAATTATTCCTGGTAAAAATCATCATGAATGCAAAATCTGAGGCAATGGTTTGATTACAACAACAACCAAATATTCAAGGCAGCCCAATAGAAAATCCATATTAATATGATGATTTCAAACCTCCGTTAGGAGAGGAATTCCAAGAAGAAGAATGTGAACTTGAACTAAAAGGTGGTTCATAATAAGAGTGGAGTCAGAGGAAAAATAAATGTTCGATAAAATCCAAAAACCAACGATGCCGCACAAAAAATCACAAACGGTGCGTTGAAAATAAAAACAATCGGTACAGAGGCAGTTGTTGAAGCAGCACGGCACGGCAATCTGATACGGCCGGTGGTGAAGTCATAGGTGAGGATGAGGAGGTGGAGTGGCAGTCGAAATAAAACTCAAACATACCGTTTGTGTTTACTTTAACTGTTGTTGTGCACAAAATATATTCATTATACACATTCGCGATAATATGCGTAAAAGTTTAAAACTAGTCCAACACGTACAATAATTTTTCATACCTAGTTAGCTATCCGGATTGTTCGGTTCTCATTAATTCATTCAAAGTTCGTAATTGCACGTGATTTAAATTTTTCAAAAAAAAAAAATGTTATCTCAACGCTCTTTAAGCGGTTTGATGTTTCTTGTACTATGCAGCAGTATGGTACTTGATTCAATTGCGGCAAACCCCCTAGAAGAGATGTCTGAACTTCTGAGTTATCCAGGATGGCTTGGTTTGCCGCCGCTGCAAATCATCGAAGAAAATAGAACTAAACTAGTAAGCATACACGAAGTGATTATGAAAAATAACAAAGGAGAACTCTTGATAAGACCCATAACCTTACCTACTAAAATTCGACGTGCCCAAATGTTCCTGAGTTGCCAGTACACTATTGATTTTCTAATATATCAAACATATTTATACAGACTTGGCACAACATGCATGTTTATGACCGCTTTTGTTCATCGGGAATGTCTGCAAAAGTTTATACAGCTATTAAACCCGGAAACCTTAGTATCGCGCATGAAAGGTGCGCTATCGTTTTTCAGTTTTTTAATTACACCAACCGAGTTAAAAACCTCCTTTTTCGATATCCTGGATCACTTTATTAGCTTGCAAATACTGATCAGCTTACCTAATGACGGAACTAACGTTGATCCATATATAAATGACAAATTAAAAAATATTTTAATAGAATTCGGAAAACTAGAAAATACCGCTATCAAATTTTTCAAAACCTCCTGTCGTCCAGCGGCGCTTTTAAAAGAAAAATTTAGCGATTCAACCGTAGGTTGGAACACGGTCGACGTAAAACTTAAGGAAATATATTACAAGGAGATCAGCGAAGTCGAAAAAATGATCATATTGTACCCTTTGATTAATAATGCAATAAAAGAGTTCATAGAAATGGATTACTTTCTCATGGGTTTCATTTACATAAAGGAGTCACAAACGACCGTTTTAAATAAAATTTTCGACCCTCAAACACAAATTACGCTAACAAAGGGGATACTAAATTCTCTCCTTAAATGGTCACTTTATTTGGGAGACTTGATGGTTGTTGTGAATGAAAAGAAATACGGTCTTCAAAGTCTGATCGTCACTGAAGTCAACGAGCAAAATATTAACGGTATAATTCGTCTCCTCTACGACCTGATGAGCGCTTACTTTGTTAAAATATTAAGAGACTTATATTTATACTACACGTCTTTATCAGAACTCTATCATTCGACAATGAAACCTAATGAAAAATATGTCTTTATTGAATCCTTTGTGATATCAGTCAAAAAGAGCGATCCAGTTATACAGTACATGAAAGCCGCTAATATATTTTTTCAAATGACATCTCCTCTGAACACAAATTTGTATATTTCGAAAATCCTAATCTTGTTCAAGAGTTTTATTGAAATAACAAATTTCGATGGCGAAAAATTTTATAATAGAAGTGAGGGAAGGTACAATGAGGAACAGTTACTTATACAAATGAATACTTTCATCGATATTTTGTCAAAAATGAAAAAAGAACTAAACATAATATTCGATCAGATGAAGCCCATATCAGTAGAAAATCACACAGATTATGCTGAAAAATCGCAAACAGGTATTGAACAGCAACTCGATGAAAAAATCGAATTATTCATAGATAAAGTGTTTCCGGAATTGGGGCTTTCGTTTACACTTAATGTAGGGTCAGTTTGCGATTAGTTTAATGTTTTTAGCTAATGTTTACAGTAAGAAGTCCGAATGTTTAGACTAATGACAATCAGGAAAATGTTAAATATAATAACAACATTCACAATTATAAAATTATAATTTAAATAAATATAAACCGAGTGTAATATAGTTATTTTATTGAATACAATAATATATTTTGACCATTGAATACAAGAATAATTTGAGTCTATGTATTGTTTATTATGTACTGAGTTATTGATTTGTAATAATATTGTTTATGACATTTTTTGCCAAATTATACCGACTGTTCGTAAGTTTACCGTAGTGGTTTTGTCAAGATTTTTTCTAGTCTAAAGTCACAATAATTTTTTCCCCGTAAACTAACCTACTCGATTAATATATCTATAATTTTAAAAACGTTTGTGGTTGGTACTTTAGTTGGTCAAAAGTAGAAAATTACAAATCCCATTATGGTTAAAATCGAATAAACCGAAAACAGAACTGATTGTTAAATAATGCATTTACTGTATCAATAGCATGCTATAGCATTCATTAAATTTTTTTGTGTTAACATTCGAAATAAAATGAATATTTAGATTTTTGTTAATTAAATAATTATTTTATTTCTGTAATAGTAGCAAATGGTTTTAATAGAATAAAAGTGACAATTGACATTATTATTATTTTATAATATTGAACCACCATTTAATACAGTTTCACTTACGGTGTGAAAATGAGCAATAGCTAATTATACGATAATAAATAAGTACTCTCGTATCTCTATCAGAACAAACTACCGTCCCCGTAAGTTTTTATTGTGAAAGACTTCGATCTAAAGGGAAAAAACCATAAATATAATGTAATGTAACTCAATACACAGAATAAGCTTTATACATTTTTATGGTGTTAGTAAAAAAAAAGAATTCAGAAATTATAAGCACTTTGAAAAACGAATTTCTTTAAAATGGCATGAAAGTATGTAGTAGTTGAAAAATTGTATTAATTTATAATTACAAACTTGTTAACAATACAATATCATTTAAACAACTTTAGCAGACACCAAAATAATTTTTAGTAAGTTTTTTTTCTAAGTTATATCACAAAGCTTGAATGCCTTGAAAGGGAAGCCATCCAATGGTAACAACTCTATATGTAAAGTGTGGTTATGTTATTGAGTTTTTTATTTTATGTTAGTAGGTCTCTATTCCAGTTACGTTTTAGACTGCGTGGGGGATAATCGAGTTTCGGATTTGAATTTAAATTGAGTTTTGAGTGGAATCTGAAGTAATGTGATATGGCAAGTCGTTAACGGTGTCTATTTGTATGTCTTTATGTAAGTTATGGTTAGTTTTGTACCTTGGTACCCCTCTGGGCATTTAAGACCATTCGTAGTGATACATTTGGGAACGCATGTATTGGTCTTATAGTTGAAGGCTTAGCAGGTTCCCACATTTGAATTCCATAAGCCCATATTGGTTGTATTATTGACTTATATATGAGTAATTTAGTCTTGAGGGCAGATTGGATTTTAGAATCAGGCGGAAAAGATTCAATACTATAATATTTGATTTTTTCATTTATTTTTCGATGTGAGATTCCCAGGTTAGACGTTTGTCTGGTATTAAAACAAGATATTTTGTCTCTATTGGAGTAGTGATATCTGTATTTTTGAGTATTACAACAGGACATGTTTCAGGACGGAGAGCAAAGGTAACGTGACTGGATTTATTTTTATTTTTCAATTCCTAAACCATGTTTCACAGATGTTTATCGTATTGTAAATAGTGACCCACGTCGCTTCTATTTTTGTGACAAATTAATATAGCTGTATCGTCAACAAAAGTAGCTAGTAACGTGTTAGAAAAGCAAGGTGAATTAGCACAAATTATTCTAACTATACATTTACTGTCTTGAAAGTACTGGAAATATTTTTTCAGTTTATAAAGTAGACCACTGGGCCAAATCTATCAAACACTTGTGCGACATTACGAAATAAGCCAACGTGACCAAGTTTTTTGATTTTCCAGGTTTAGGTATGACAATAACTACTGCTATTTTTTAGATGAGGGGAATAGGAAAGTCGAAGCATAGCGTTATAAATAAAAGTTAAAAAGAAAACACTTTTTTTTGAGAGAGTTTATCAATATTTTGTTGGTAATAAGGTCGTTACTGAGAGCTTTGCCTTATGGTAATTTTTTAATTGTTGCTTGAACTAAAGGATTTAACAGGCAGGGACATTGGCAGAGAGCTTGACCGAAAGTCGTTGACCATATTAACAGTACGTTTATATCTGGTATGATGTCTTGGTGTAATTTGAATGTATAGTAAGATACTCAGCATAACATAAAGCGTTTTCGTAAACTGATATGACTAAAGTACCATCTTCTTTAAGTAGTGGCAGGATTCTTTGATTTTTGTTAGTCTTTTAGTAGCTCGTCATAGAAAGTTATCAATAGGGTTGAGAGATCTTATATAATTTTCGTATGGTTCAGACTTAAATTTTTAAAGCTGTTTTTTTAGATAATTAGCTAAATGAATAAACACGACTGCGTTGTTGAGTTATTTGCTGATTTTTTTAAAAGCTGAACAAATTTATAAGCTGCATTATCAAAATCTTCTTGCGTTTTTAGTGAAATATTTGGATTTCTATTTTTATAAATGAAAAATGTTTATTGGTAATTAATGAACGTAGGATACTTCCTTTTTGGTTATTCCATAAAAATTGTTTGAGTTAAAGTCTCCACCAGCTATATATAAATGACCTAATGTGTCGAAAAAACAAAATTTGTAAACGAAATAAATAAATAAAAATTTGTTCCTGTAAATATTTAGTTGGGCATATTCATATACAAACCCGTAAGTGTCGAAACATTTTTGAAAATCAACTTGACGTATATTATAACGAGGAGGACAGTAGACTGCCGAAATAGTAATTGGAACATTATTAATATTTATTGACACGCTTGACGCTTGAATGTGTTGTTTTTGGTACGGTCTGATTTTGTTATGTTGTATGGTATTTGATATTAAAATAGTAGTACCAGCGTGAGCTGAGCCGCCAGGATGATTAATTTTGTATGCGGTATAGTTGTATAAGTTAAAGTGTGATTTTTCAGTAAAGTGTGTTTCACTAATTAGAGCTATGTCAATAATATTTTCGTTTAATATAGTTCGTAACTTATTTTTATGTTATTGAAGTCCATTATAATTCTAAAGAAGTACGTTGAGAGAAGTTTTATTAAGATTAGAATCATTAGACATTTTTTGTAAACAATTTTAATTATAACTGTTGTTAACAAGTATATTTTGGGGTTGATTAATGATCTGATATCAGTTAAAAATGAAGAAAAAATTTTAGTAAAATCTTTGTCAGCATTAGTTGTATTTTGGGTTTGAGAATTGTTATTATAGTAAGATTGTTGAGTTATTTTGGCGTATGATTAATGCATGCTATACTCTACTGTACTAGTCCTCTCGGATAAAATTACATTCAAATAAACGATTTGATGCTTTTCTAAAAAAAATTTTCAGCCGAGTCTGCAACCACGAAAGAGCACTATCATGTCTCGTTGAAGTACCGAATAAATATAGATTAGTTGTGGAATTATAATTGAAAAAAAAAATAATAACATGGAGCTTCCAATTACAGCATAAGCCAAGGAGATTAAAAAATTATGTACAATCATGTTTCTGGCTAAAATTGTGTTGTATACTTAATTGTGGAAAAATACAACTCAACTTTAGGATTAATAAAAGACGTTTATTATGAAACGCTATAACAGCAATGACAAGTAATTATTTTCAATATTAGCGTACGCCGTGAACAGTCCCCACTGCGTACACATTAATTAGTGTTATCTGAATAACCATATTATAAATATAACAATATAACAATATACAACAAATTGTAGTGTTTATTATCTGGCCAAAAGTAACTTAACATAGTTTAAAATATAGAGAATTAAACTATTTTGAATTTATTATTTAGTTCTTATTTGAACGTTGAACGTACAACATATCTCTTATCTCTTGTCTTCTATATCTTACCCCTATCCCCTACCCACTATCTCCCGTCCCTATCACTCAGCCCTATCCCCTACCCCTATCTCATATCTCATATCAGATAACAGCGTAACACTTTTTTTGTGATGCTTTTTTCGTTACGCTTTTCTAACGAACGCTTTTTTCGGTTATGTGCCAGAGCTAAGACATGAAAATGTCAAAACCATCAAATAAGCACTTTGAAGCTTTTCTACAAAACCCTATAGCCGGAAAAATATTACGCTAGCAAGACAAACGATTTTGGTTAGCGTTGTATTATTAAATGTTTCAAATATTTTTGATATTTTTCAAACTAAATAAATCAAAACGTCAAATATATTATTATACGGAGACTGAAGTTAGAAAATCATTCATGATTAAGTTTCTTATGAAAAAACCTGTTCAAATAACAAAATTTATTAGGCAAAAGATTAAATTTAAGTAAATAATAAAACCTTACAAAATTACAAAGTAGGTACTACTAAAACTTTAGTTAATAAAAGGGTCAACTAAAAGTTTGGATATTATAGGGATTAGGGGTAAAACAAAATTTGTAAGCGAAATAACTAAATAAAAATTTGTTCCTGTAAACATTAAGTTGGGCCAATTTATTATTTAGTTCTTCTAACTAGAAATTGATCGTGTCCCTATATTAACCCATAGTTTAAATAGGACCGTTGTTTTTAAAAACATTTACAATTAATTAATTTGAATAACATTATGTGTAGCAATAAATATACAGGGATATAATATTCATTATTTTAAAAATTTAATTTATACAATATTGATACAGTTGTATTCAAGTACGACGCAGAAGGCAAAGTTATTCGTAAGAAAACACAACGTTCGTGTGTCTTAAAAACACTAGCGCCAAATGAATATTTCGCAAGCAAAAAAACAATTTTGGTTATCGTTGTAAAAAATAATTGTCCAAAATTCCTAATATTATTAGTGCCAAATAAGTCAAAATGTTAAATATATTATTAAACAGAACTTTAAATTAGAAAATTATTGATGTATAATTGGCTTATAAAAAACCACGTTCAAATATGTTCAAACAAATTTGTTCCTGTAAACATTTTGTTGGCCCAATTATCTATTCAGTTCCCCCAAATAAATATTTATCATGTCCCTTTTTAATTCCACAGTTTAAGTCTGCCCATTTATGTATATTATTCTGTATAGGAACGTGGTCTATAATTCAATAGTAAAAGTATACGATGTATACTTTAATATGTTGAACCTAAACAAATAATTCAATAACGATAAGAAACTATTTTTATTTAAATAATTTCAATTGTTAATTTTTTTTTTTAACATTTGCAATTAATTACTTTGGATGACATTATGTGTTAAATAGAATATAAAGGGATATAATACAAATTATTTAAAAAATTGAATTTATACTGTATTGATACAGTTTTATTAAAGTATGACGCAAAAGGCAATGTTATTTATAAAATAACAGAACGTTTATGTTTCTAAAAAACACAAGCGCCGATTAAATATTTCGCAAGCCAAAAACAATTTTGGTTAGCGTTGCAAAAAATAATTGTCCAATATTACAAATACTCCTAATATTATTAATACCAAATTAGTCGAAATGTTAGATATATTATTATACAGATCATTAAATCACAAAAATATTGATGAATAAGTTTTTTTAAACAAACCCGTTCAAATAACAAAATATATTGGCACAAGATTTACCGTTCATCCAATTAGAAATTTATCGTGTCCCTATATTAAACCATAGAAAAAGAAGGACCGTTGTTTTTAAAAACATTTACAATTAATTCGTTTGGATTATCGAATTTGAACATTATGTGTCGAATAAAATTTTAAGGGATATAATGTACATTATTTAAAAAATGTAATTTATACTATATTTATACAGTTTTGCTAAAGTATGACGCAAGAGGCAATGCTATTTGTAAAATAGCAGAACGTTTATGTTTCTAAAAAACACTAGTGCCAATAAATATTTTTCAAACAAAAAAACAATTTTGGTTAGCGTTGTATAAAATAATTGTCCAATATTCCTAATATTATTAGTTCCAAATAAGTCAAAATGTTAAATATATTATTATACAGAACTTCAAATCAGAAAATTATTGATGTATAATTGACTTATAAAAAAACACATTAAAATATGTTTAATATATGGATTAGGGGTACAGTAAATTTGTAGTTGAAATAATTACAAATTTGTTCTTATAAACATTTAGTTGGCACAATTATTTATTCAGTTCCTCCAATTAGATATTTATCATGTCCCTTTTTAATTCTACAGTTTAAGTCTGCCATCTATGTATATTTTTCTGTATAGGAACGTGATCTATAAATCAATAGTAAAAGTATATGTTGCATACTATAATATGTTGAACCTAAACAAATAATTCAACAAAGATAAGAAACTATTTTTATTTAAATTATTTCAATTGTTATTATTTTTTGTAAACGAAATAACTAAATACAAATATGTTCCGGTAAACATTTAGTTTGGTCAATTGTTTATTTAGTTCATCCAATTAGAAACTTATCGTGTCCCTATATAAAACCATAGTAAAAATTGGACCGTTCTTTTTAAAAACATTTTCAGTTAATTAATTTGGATAACATTATGTGTAGCAAAAAATATACGGGGATATAATATTCATTATTTTAAAAATGTAATTTATACAATATTGATACAGTTTTATTAAAGTATGACGCAAAAGGCAATGTTCTTTGTAAAATAACAGAACGTTCATGTGTATAAAAAACACTAGCGCCAAATAAGTATTTCACAAGCAAAAAAACCATTTTGGTTAGCGTTGTTAAAAATAATTGTCCAATTTTCCAAATATTATTAGTACCAAATAAGTTAAAATGTTAAATATATTATTATACAGAGCATTAAATCAGAAAATTATTGATAAATAAATTTCTTATAAAGAAACCGTTCAAATAACAAAATATATTGGGCACAAGATTTACCGTGTGATCGCTATAAATTTAAGTAAAATAGTAGGTAACTCTTGCAAAAAAAAGTTGGTCGAACTAAGACTATGGTTAATAGAAGGGTACAAAACATATCTAGTTGGACTGGCTTAATAAAAACTGGGACAACTAAAGTTTGGCTATTATAGGGATTAGCGTATAACAAAAATTTGTAAACGAAATAACTCAATAAAAAAGTGTTCCTGTAAATATTTAGTTGGGCCAAATCATTATTTAGTTCTTCCAACTAGAAATTGATCGTGTCCCTATATTAAACCATACTAAAAGTTTTTGGCAACTACCGTGCGAATCTCACCTCGAAACTAGCCAATTTCGACCATGCGAAAGCTGCATTCTCATGCCTCTACCCTCCCTCCACCGTTGACATAAGCGGATGTCATGGGCGAACGAGGTCATTCACGCGCGGACTTGTGACAATTGCGAGGATTCCCACGGCCATTCAACGAGCGGACCAGCATATAAGGGAGCACTTCAGCCATAGGAGAGGCAGATGTTCTGAGACCGCCACACACTACACTTGTTTCTACCTATCATTTTCTTTTGAAGACTTAAGTGGCTTATAATTGTCTTGATCATCATATTTATGAAGCATACTGAACTTATGCTATTAACTGTTTGACGTTGTACATGTTTTATAAGTTTATTAAATTAAATGTTTGTGATTAACCTTGAAGTTATTTTAATAAATATCTAAAAAACGATCACCACGATTGTGACA